GCCGGAACTGCGGCAGGATGAGGGTGCGAATCCTGAATGTCGAAGCAACACTTGATGAGTCTCGGAGCACGACGCAAGCACTCCAAGCAGTCTGTGGCGCGGGCAAAAATAAGCTCATACTGGTCAACTGTTCCCAGGGGAGGATAAAGTGGGATGGCTGAAGCCAACCACCACCCCCAAACAGACATGGTTCAGCATCGGTGCGAGCTGAAAGGTGGTGATTGGGGCGTCGACTACGCGGGGAATGCTGTATGCATCAATGGAAAGCCGTTCGAGATTGGAATCGAGTCTGAAGAAAACTGATAGAATTGTTGGAAAGGGAGTCCAAGGGTTAAATTTTGCCACCGCTGACGGTGATTATCCAGGAGGCCCACCAGAGCTTCGTCGGGGTCGCCGTGGTTCAGGTTCGAAATAACGATGGCCAGTGGTTGATTTTGTGCCCGAAAAAGCCAGGTCTCAAGGAATGAGACCCACCAGGAGTCGATATAGCCTGTGTGAAGCTGTACATGGCTCCAGAGTTGCGGCATCGACAGAGCGATTAATCTCCAATCCCGGCAGACTTTTGTCAATAAGATGGGAGGATTATTCAAAGAGTTTGTGGGTTTGCCCTCGAATTGAACGTTGACCGGAATACAACGCAGAAAAATTTCGGAGGTGATTTCGACCGGCAAGGCAAGTACTGGACACATTGTACCAGTGGAACTGGGCAGGGAAGCGGTTTGCAGGCTGTCACCTGGAACGGAACTTGAATTTTTCAAGAATCCAAGTACAGAAACAGAGCGTCATACTCATCGCTTGCACTCCGTTGGACTCGAGGTTCAGGATGCTTAAGGAGTGCCAGGTTTGGCCAGGCGTCAGCCGTGACAACCGCACAGCAATCCGCACAGCAATCGACTGATCTCCGTATCATCGAACGATCATGCTAAATTACTTATCGGGCCGATATATCCGAATCTCTTCGTCGGCACGGCGGCAGGAATCGGACAAGAATTAGATGATTTCTGTGGGTACTTGATCGTGCCCACAATACTGTGAACTGGAGTTAGTGAGATGGATACTTATTTCCAATATCCCCGGTGCAATTGGGGTTTGAGAAATTTAAAACCATACAGCGGCGCTCGTGTTGAGTTTTTTTTGGTTGAACTTGTGGCTGTGAGAAAATCGCCATCTGCCGCCTGCGGTTTCCAGGCTACGTGTTGGCTACCTTTCACTTCGAACTCGGATTTTAATTCTGCGGGTCCAAAATCACGACTATCGTGCAGTCTCCCTCCTGAAATGGATTCGAGTGATACCGGCCTCGCCCAATCTTCCACCCGACAGGACGCACCTGACAGAAATGGTAAAGCCGTTCGCCCCTGCATTTATTACATCCTCATTTACGACAATTAGAGCATAACCCCCCCAATTCCGTACTAACTAGGTCGGATGATCAGTCGGCGGTCTGGCGCTCCGGATTTACTTTCCGATATTTGCGGCGTTAACGTCTCGTTCTAACCTACTTTTGGATCTCTTTCATATTTGCAGGGTGGATGAGTCTCCGCCGCATTCGTCTGTGCCTTTGGATTATGTCACGGTTTTATATGTATCGAATAATTCTCCGAGCGAACACTTCGGAGCATGACTCTTCTCCTACCCTGTACATCACTGAACTGAGTATGTTCTCCTAACTATTCTTTTGCTTCTATCTGTCGACTGGGTTCTACAGCGTGACGGGAAACTGGGTGCGTGAACTCGGCTTGGAAGATATATGGAGGTCAGGGACGATGGGGTACATAATGCCTGTAGTACTCCGGGATACTTCCTGAAACCGGTGTTCCTGAGCGGGACCCTGCCATATAAGTCTACCTACCTACCTAAGGACCACGGTTTAAACATTTGGAGGCTAGATCCCAAAATGGCCCAATGGGCCCATTTTTGTCCTAACACTTTCTGGGCGAACATGCCAATTTTTGTCCGAACCAGCTCTAGCCGAGGGTGCCGTAAACTGTAATTTCTAGCCCCTAAATGCTCAAAAATGCCTCTCTGGCTGATTGACGCGCCTTTTCGCGCAAATTCAACCATCTTCAGCTCAAATGACTTCCAAATAGCCAGTTCCGTCGCATTTTGGGACAAAGAATGACTGTGGGCTCCCCACTGATGGCAAGATTTTGTCCGAACCGGCTCTAGCCTTCGCGCTTCGGAGGCCACATTTTTGTCCGCTCGGTTTCAGGCCAAATTTGCCCAAATTTGTCCGAACGCGGACCTCGCCTCCCAGGGTATAAAACCGGTACATACCTCTGGTTCACATCTATCTCCATCGGAGTTCCATTCCATTTCAGGTTGACACCGGTTCGGAATTTCTATGCACTTCCGGCAGCAAAAAAGTGCGACCATTCGCAACCCTCAATACTATTTACGGCCACGGGCGCTGGCGCTGAGGTAAGTATAAGAAGGCAGGGATTCCCGTATCCTGGTTGTCACGATCGAGCATGCACTCCCAGCTCTCAAGCTTAATCCGGGCTCTTGTTTTGATAATTTCGATCCCTCTGCTCCTCGGTCTCCCCCAGACTGCAGCCAAGAAATGCACCCACCCTTCTGTCCGAAAGGAATGGCGCACTTTCACGAAGGCTGAGAAAGCAGAATGGATCAGGGCCGTCAAGGTTTTTCTCTCCCATCGAATCAAATTTCGGCTTACATTTTTATTCTCCAGTGCTTGGGCAAACTGCCCCACGATGACGCACTGTCACCGACCGTCAACCCTCCCAATATTGGGCCCGTCAACGTCTCGGGATCCTACTACGATGATTTTGTGTACATTCACATGGTTAGCTGACTTCTTGTATTCTGAATTTCGCTACTAACAGCAGCGTCTCAGGGTAAGATCGAACCGTCTTGTAATATTGCGGCTCACACAATTCTTTTACGGTAAGATCTCAATACACACATCCATTTTACCGGGCTTTTTTTACCCTGGCATCGTTGGTATGTCCACGTGTACGAAGTAGCATTAAAGACCAAGTGCAACTTCCGCGGGACCTCTCCTTACTGGAATTGGACAATTGGTTCGTCTGTCTTTCATGACTCAAATGCAATTTATTGACAGATACCGTATGAAACAGACTCATCAAACTTCTACGAATCCACCCTGCTCAAGGACGCGAGTCCCGTGCACGGACTCGGTGGCTGGGGCGACCCCCAAAATGACTACCGCGTTCCTGACGGTGCCTTCTCGTCGTTTCATCTGTCGTATCCCTCCCCGCACACCGTCCGGCGGAATTTCACGCTCCGGCCGTATCTGAACTTCCCCGACCTCAGCTTCATCACGGACCCCCTGCTCGAAGCCAATGCGACGTTCACAAAGGCAGAAATTCAGAAGCTCACGAATGGGTTTGTAGGGGATTTCAAGGGGTTCCAGACTTATTTCGAGGCGTTCAATGTATGTTTTTGTTCCATCTTGATTTATCCTTGGCTATACATGAACCGAATCCAAGGGATCACATGGGGCAGTGCATTCCAGCGTGGCAGGGTAATTATTGATGCTTTTGTGTCCTTTGGCAATACCTCATGGCATTTAAAACAGGGATCTCGGCGGAACCTGCCCCGGAACTTCGCCCCCGGGCACCTGTGTGAGAGGTCCCACATTTTCTCCCAATGGTACGTTAGGTTCGAACGGCGTGGATTCTACCATCTTCATAAATCATTAGACGTGCTGTTCTGGCTCCACCACGCTGTCAGTATTGTCTAGTCTGTTACTCCTCGTTAATCTGACTACATCATTCCACAGATGGTGGATAAGGTTTGGTATTGTCACTCTACTTTTCGGTCTGGAGTCCCCGTTAATTTTAAATACAGGTTCGATTGGCAACACAAGCACCCGGCGAATGCTAGGGCGTTTGAAGGCGGCTCGATCCAGGCGACGCAAAATGTGACTATACTCAGCATGTACCCTAACGGCCGAGCTCCACCCCTCCATGTTCGTGCTGCATTTTATCGTACACCGTCGATTAAAATGACTGACCGACGTTCCAGTTGAACTCTATCATGCCGTCGGATGGACTGTTCCCACAGGCAAAAATATCCGATGTCATGAGCACGACGGATGGTATTCTCTGCTATGTCTATGAATGATAGTAATTAGTTTTGTTGCGGACCTACTTAGCTTCTCGAGGCGAGAATAATTGAAAATGCTGTGGATAAACCAAAACGTAATTCGATATGAATCCGTTCAATGGACTAGGTGAATCGTATCAGGGACAAAAGGAATTGCGAAGTGAACTGCTCGATACCCAGCCATATTGTCGAAGGCATCGTTAATTTACAGCTGTGCCTAGAAAGGTTACTACCGACAGTTTCTTTGATCAAGTTGAACTCAGATCCAAATGCCGTCAAGAATCAAGATTTTGCTTCACCTCTGGCCTTCTTTCGTCGAGAGCATTGAAAAAAATATTTTATACCATATAGATTTCCTGAAACATGTAAGGCGGCTTTCACTGCACCCTTGATGGCCCCAGAAATTAAAGTTGAGAGTTGGAGTGCGAGGAAGGCTGTAAATTCCTTCCAGACAATCATGAAATTCTCGTACTATACTCTATGACTCGACACAAGGCAAGAGAAGACCTGACCGTGTTGTGATGACACACCTGTTGAATTTTGGGGAACACTGGGTTCGTTTAGCAGGAGATCCTCGAACACATGGGCTTCATGAGACTGTTTTTTTATACATCTTTTTCTAAATTCTTTCTGGATACATTCGTTGCCTGATACTAGCTCAGTCTGAATGAGCTGGGTAGATGGTAATTTGGACTTGAACTAAACAACAGATGTACATTTGGGGCGAGTTCACTCACGACAGTGGTTTGTCAGGAGACCCCGGTTTGAACCCGGGTGAGGTTCTTCTTCTTTTTCTGTTGTCTCAATGAGCTGGCGTGCAATTTGGGTGCAATAATATTAAAGAACACATTTTTGGCCCGAGTCCACTCACATCAACGGTACATAAGTCAAGTACCATTAAAGACAAGAAAGACCTGATGATGTAGTGGTAGCATGCCTGCTTATTTTAAAAGTCAAATTGGTTGCCTCAGCAGGAGCCCCCGGTTCGAACCCGGGCCAGGTCATTTCTGAGAATTGAAATTGTTTTTTTCTTCCTGGCCTTTCTTTTTCTCGCTTCGATGATTCTGAATCTGGAATCAGGACCAATGTCCAGGGAAGTGATTGAATGATACCTGAGTCTGAAGTTTGGAGAAGTATATGAATCAAGCAACATGAGTAACAGAGAGCAAGAAAGACCTGATGGTGTAGTGTTAACATGCCTGCTGAATTTGAGAGCAAGTTGTAGGAAAGTAAGCAGGAGGCCTCGGTTCGAACCCGGGTCAGGTCATGGTTGCTGTTCAAAATTCTTTTTTCCCCTTTTCTTTTGGGTTTGATATTTCCTGCTTTGAGATACCATTTGAATTTGCTTGCCTATGAATAACGATTACCAGCAAATGGGGCATGGGTAATTCGAGTTATAACACAGATTTGTGTCACAAGGGTTAAGTATATTCCAAATCATGTCTAGGGTAAGGAAGACCTGATGGTACATGCCTGCTGAAATTGGGCTGATTATCCATGATTAATAGGCGGGGGCCCTCGGTTCAAACCCGGGTCAGGTCATAGGTACTAGGACATCTTTTTTTTTTTTTTTCCCTTTTTTTTGGTCTGACATTTTTCAATGATACATGAATTTGCTTGCTGCCTATCAATAACGATTACCAACAGTGGGCATGGGTAACTTGAATTACACAACAGATTTGTCTCACAAGGGTTATGTATGTTCCAAGTCAGGTAGGCAATGGGGAAGACCTGATGGTGTAGTGGTAACATGCCTGCTGAATTTCCATCCCAAAACAAGTGCAGTAAGCAGGAGACTCTGGTTCGAACCCGGGTCAGGTCATGAATGTTTACAACCACTGTTTTTTTTCCCCCCTTTTCTTTTTTGGTCTGACATTTTCTGTTTTTGAGATGCTGTTACGTCCGTTTGAATTTACTTGCTGCCTATCAATATATGTTGTAACTTGAGTTACACAACAGATTTGTCTCGCAAAGATCAGGTATATTCCAAGTCATGTGTGAGACAAGGAAGACCTGATGGTGTAGTGGTAACATGCCTGCTGAATTTGAACTGTATGGAATGTAGATAAGTAGGAAGCCCTGGTTCGAACCCGGGTCAGGTCATATTGTTAATTAAAACAATTTTTTTCCCTTTTTCTTTTGGGTCGGACGTTTCCTCCCTCTATGACACATCCATTTGAATTTACTTGCTGCCTATCAATAATGACCGATAGCCCGGGCTGGGACAGTAACTTGACTCTGTGTTACACAGCAGATTTGCGTCACAAGGGTTAGGTATGTTCCAAGTAATGTCTACAGTGAGAAAGACCTGATGGTGTAGTGGTAACATGCCTGCTGAATCTGGAAACGCGATCTTGATCCAGTTGAGCAGGAGGCCTTGGTTCGAACCCGGGTCAGGTCATGATTATGAACATATTGTTTTCTTTTCCCTTTTCTTTTTTGGTCTGATGTTTTCTTCAGATACATCCATTTCAAAGTTGAATTTGCTTGCTGCCTAGCAATAACGATTACCGACAATGGGGCATGGGTAATTCGAGTTATAACACAGATTTGCGTTACAAGGGTTAGGTATGTTCCAAGGAATGTGTGCAATAAGGAAGACCTGATGGTGTAGTGGTAACATGCCTGCTGAATTTGGGATGTAAAAAACAGTATCGTAAGCAGGAGGCCCTGGTTCGAACCCGGGTCAGGTCATTGTTGGGAAGATCAATTTTTGTTCCCTTTTTTTTTTTTTGGTCTGAGTTTCCTCCCTCCATGATACATCCATTTGAATTTGCGTGCTGCCTATCAATAACAATTGATAACCCGGAGTATTGTATCTTGAATGAAACAACAGATTTATGTTACATGGATTAGGTATGTTCCAAGTCATGCGATGGATGAGGAAGACCTGATGGTGTAGTGGTAACATGTCTGCTGACTTTGGAATGTAGAAAACGGTACCGTAAGCAGGAGGCCCCGGTTCGAACCCGGGTCAGGTCATGTAGATTAATGCATACTGTTTTTTTCCCCCTTTTCTTTTTGGGTCTGATGTTTTCTGCCTCTATGATACATCCATTTGAATTTACTTGCTGCCTATTGATATAGCCTGGAGTATTGTAACTTGAGTTACACAACAGATTTATGTTACAAGGGTTAGGTATGTTCCAAGTCATGTGTGAATCAAGGAAGACCTGATGGTGTAGTGGTAACATGCCTGCTCAAGTTCTCTGATCGTTGTAGTAGACATATATGCAGGAGGTCCCTCGTTCGAATCGGGGTCAGGTCATATAATGGACAACAGCTTTTTGTGTTTCCTTTCTTTCTTTCTTTCTTTTTTTAACGGCTTTATTCTCCTATTTTATTTTTTCATCTGCACGCACCCAGTTTTGTTTCGCTCTAACTTAACTTACAAAACTAAACTCACAAAACGAAACGAAACGACGGAAGATAAGAGTAAGAGTAAGAGTATGTAAGAGATAAGAGATAAGATCAGATACGGCCCGCTCGCGAGCGATCGGGTGTTTGGCGGTGTTGAAAGCAAGCAAGCCACCGCCACTGCCGACACGGAACGCGTTTGGGAAGCGGCGCGCGTCTAACGTTTGACTGACTGATACTTACTCTGCTTCTTACTTTGCGTTGTACGGTGCAACCCAACGTCCAAGGCCACGACCGCGCTTGGAAGGAAGAGCACGGGGATTCACGTGGTAGCCGATTGCGACTCAGTGCGAGAACGAGAAGAAGAAAGGAGAAAGGAGCAAGGACGACGACGAGGACGAGGGAAGAGAGGGCAATTCGAAGAGTACAGGGATATATAAGGTGTGTCTAGCTACGCGGTGGATGGGATGGTGCGGACGCTGATATAGCCCGAAGCCCAAGCACAAGCACGAAGCACGAAGCACGCACAGTAAAAGCCTTTAAGCAGCATGGGGAAGAAAAGGCAGCGCAATGTTAATCGTGCAGCTGTGAACGGGCACGGCGGGCGACGCAACGCGGGGTACAACTTGAAGGATGGTGAAGGAGACGTGGACGTGGATGTGGAGGGGCAGTCGGGGCTGACGGCGGCCGCACTGGCTGCGACGAACGAGCTGCTGGCGACGGCGAAGGAGCTGTATCGGTCGCTTGGGGGCGGGTCGGATGACGGGGAGCACGATAGTCTGTCGGACGACGAGGACGACGGGGACGGAGACGGGGCGGGGAAGCAGGTGCTGAATGGGGTGGACAAGGCGTATTGGCGCGCGCTGCCTCGACGGGTGCGCGACGGCGAGCTGTCCGACGCCGAATTCGCGAGTAAAGTCAGAGAGGCGGCCGCCGCGCTCGCGAGCGTCCCCACCGCGTCCTCCGCGCCCTCCAAGTCCAACAGTGAGTATTTATCCCATCCTTTTATTTTATTTATCTCTATTTTATTTGGGGGTCCCACGATCAATCAAAAGCTGACCAATACTTTTCAGCCTCACCCACCTTGTCAAAGCGGGCAGAGGCCTCGAATTTAGCCAGCGATAACAAGGGAGAGAAGCAGCTCATGGCCCCGCCGCCGCCGCCGCCGCCCTCCAGCGTCTCCATCGGCAAGAAGCCCATGGCCTATCAGCAGGCTGCACCCGCACCCCCGCGCAGCGCCCGCGCCGCCGCCAAGGCTCCCGTCCCCGCTCCCCCGGACCCGAATGCTGCCTCGCCTGCGGGGACCGCCGCGGGGAAGGGCAAGCAGGCTGCGGGTGCGGGGAATAATGGGGGTGGGACCACCAACAACAAGATATGGAGCACGAGCAGCAGCGAGGAGCGCGAGCGCATCCGCGACTTTTGGCTTGCGCTTGCGGAGGAGGAGAGGAGGGATCTGGTGAGGGTGGAGAAGGATACGGTGCTGAGGAAGATGAAGGAGGAGCAGAAGCATAGTTGTAGTTGTGCCGTCTGTGGGAGGAAGCGGTGTGTTTCTCTTTCATTCCCTTTCTTCCTTTCGTCCTTCACCTCCTCCTCCTTCCTCCCCTCCCTTGCGCCGCCTCCCACCCCCCACTTCCCTTTGTCCCCCCGCTCCACGCCATACTAAAACACCCCCCAGTACCGCCATCGAAGACGAGCTCCAAGTCCTCTACGACGCGTACTACGAAGACCTCGAGCAATACGCCCTCTACCAACAACAATACCTCTCCTCCAACCGCACCCTCCCCCCGCCGCCCGGGCCCGGCCCCTTCCCCGGCAGCGTCGAGGTCGACCGCTACGGCGCCGTCGTCGCCGGCTACCCGCCCCCCGCTACCCCCACCCTCTCCTCGCTCAACGGAAACGCCAACGCGAATGCGAATGCGAATAATAATAAAAATGCGGCGGGGAAGAATAGACGCGGGCGGAGAAGGCGTAAGCCGGCGTCTGCCCCGCTCGTGAATAACAACGGCAACGGCAACGGCAATGGGGGGGTGGACGAAGACGACGTGTACGAGGAGCCGGAGCCGGACCCGGCGGACGAGTTGGACGCTGTGGAGGAGGAGGGGGAGGACGACCCGGTGGAGGACGGGGAGGAGGATGCCGACCCTGACGACGCCGACCCCGACGCGGACGATGGGGAGGCGGAGGAGCGGATGAAGCCGATTCCGATGCCGCCTGTCGCGCGGCCGGCGGCGCGCGGGGGCGCAAGAGGTGGGGCGAGGGGTGGTGGGGGTGGGGGAGGGAGGGGAGGAGGGGTGGATATGAAGGGCAAGATCGCGGCGGGGGTGGGTAGTGGGGTTGGGGGTGAGTGTTTTTTTCTTTAATTGCTTGCGTTTCTTCGAGGCGGTTTTTTTCGACTTCGGATCTTTTTTTTTGGGCGGGGGAGGCGGGTGGCGGGTTCCCACTGCCCCCTCCCTTCCCACTCCCCCTCCCCTCCCCGCTTTCCTTTGTTCCTCGTCCCGTCACGCGGCACGTGCCCCCGCCTCGTCATCATCATCCGAATCGAATCGATTCGGGTTATCGGGACGCGTGGCCTGTTGGTGCCACGTGTACGCTATATGCGCGCGTCGGGTGCGCACAAAAATAGCGTCGTCGAGGAGGAGGTCGTGTGCCTGCCCTTACGATCTCTTTTTCTTTTTTCGTTCGCCTGGCTTCCTCCCATCTCTCTTCCTTCCTTTCATCCCCTCATCTTTCATACTCTTTCTCCCGACTGAAATAAAATGAAATGAACGATTGCTAACTTTTGGAAAAAAGGCCCCACCTCGATCCTGACCGTGGCAGACGACCTGCTCAAGAACGACGGGCGCAAGTTTTTGGAGATGATGGAGCAGTTGGTGGGTTTTTTTTTCGGTTTCGTCTCTTTCTTCGGGGAGGTTTCGTGCTTTGGCTTTCCTACTTTGTTTTTTCTTCGATTTTATTTCGATCCTTCCTTATCTGTGTGTTTTTGGTTTTGGCGGATATTTCTTCCTTATTTGTTCCCTCGCGCTGTGTTCTCTTGCGCCTGCGTCGATCTTTCTTTTGCTTTGTCTGTTATTCGCGACTTCTGCTTCCTTTTTCGGCTCGGTTTCTAATTCCTACTCCCATTTGTTTTGTGTGCTACGTTTTTTCTTTTCTTTTCTCGCGACGTGCGTAGGTGCGCGACTTGGCTCTTGGCTTTGGGCTTTCGAGCTTGGACTTGCGACCTGCGGTTCTGCGGCCTGCAGTGCCCGAGTCGGGGTCTGGCGCTGGTTTTCGGCTGTTCGCTGGCTGGCACGAAGCTGGAGGCTTCGTTTTGGCGCGCGTGCCGTTTTCTGAAATTTCTTTGGCCCTTCTTTCTTTCTTTCTTTATATGCATTTCGCCTCTGCGTTTACTTGCGGCTTCTCCTCTGCATTCGTTTCTCTTTTTCCCCCTTCCCTCTTCCCTCTTTTCACCGTCTTCCCTCTTCCCTCTTTTGGTTATTCTATATTGAATATTGGAACCCGCGCTGACCTTTCTTCATTTTTTTTTTCAGGCCGAGCGCCGGCTGGCGCGCGAGGAGGAGGCGGCGGGGGGTGTGAGTGGGGATGAGGTGCGTTTTTTTCTTTTTCTTTCTTTGTTTCCAAGTTCCCTTTTTCTGTGGGAGGCGTGGGTGATGTGATGTGGCACCCCCGCGAGGTCGGGGGACGTGCCTGTCCGCCCGTGTGCGAGTGGCTCGGTGCGCGAGTGGTCTTCGCCGTATTGGGGACGTACTCCAAAGCGACTTTGACAGTCGGGGAGCTTGCACCATTGGCTGGCTCCGCGCGGTGCCGGTCGTTCGGACGGTGGCGAAGGCGGCGGGACTTTACTCTCCGACTTGCACGATATGACCCGGCGAAGCTCGACATCCTTCCCTCCCACCTTATATTTTCCCTCCCTGTTCTTCCTCCCTCCCTCCCCTTCCTCCCTCCTCCTCTCCCTCCCCCCCTCCCTCTTCCTCATATTTCCATTCATCTTTGTCCAACAAACGAACGCTAACGCTAACACCTCCATAGGACGACTCCTCCTCCGCGGCCTCTTTAGACGGCGACGGCGACGGCTCGTCGGACGGGGACGGGGAAGACGAGAGCGAGGGGGACGAGGAGGAGGAGAGTGGGGAGAGTGGGTGCGTCAACTTCCTTTTTCTCCCCATTTCCATTTCCATTTCCATCCGAATGTAGAAGACCAACGAGCTGACGCACCTTCGTTTTTGCAGGGACGACGACGGGGAGAGCGGAGACGAGGAGGAGGATGACGATGATGGGGGGGAGGAGGTGCGTTTCTTTCCCTACTTTCGTGGGGTTGCTAACGACGCTGTGCAGGTGATGACGGAGGAGCAAAAAATGGAGGAGGGCAAGCGCATGTTCAGCATCTTCGCCGCGCGGATGTTCGAGCAGCGCGTGCTGCAGGCGTATCGCGAGCGTGTCGCGCAGGTATGGTTTATTCGTTACATTCCCCACTCCCACCCAAGAACTGACTGTTCTTTTTAGGAGCGGCAGCTGCAGCTTCTGCGCGAGCTCGAGGACGAGGACGAGCGCGAGCGCGAGAAGGAGGCGAAGAAGCAGACGCAGAACCAGAAGAAGAAGGATAAGAAGCGGTGCGTCTCCCTCTCTCTCCTTTTTTTTAGAGGAATGGGGATTGATTGAATGTGGTGCGTGTGTGTGGGTAGGCAACAAAAGCAGGCGAAGGAGGAGAAGGAGGCGCAGCGGGCGGCGGAGAAGGCTGCGGAGGAGGCGGCGGCGAAGGCGAAGCAGGCGGCGGCGGAGGAGGAGCAGCGGAAGCGCCGGGAGGAGGAGCGCGTGAGGCGCGAGACGGCAAGGAAGGCGCAGGAGGAGGAGAAGGCGAGGAAGGAAGATGAGAGGCGGAAGCGGCTTGCGGAGGAGAAGGAGAAGGAGGTTGAG